CCGAGATGGTCATCATAGATGCCAGATGGGTTCGGAAGTGGAAAAGATACCCAAATGGCGAGTTGAAGGTGAAATCAAGACTCTGTGCAAGAGGATGTTTCGACTCCCAGAAAGACCTCTTGACGACGAGATCTACCACTTCCACAAGATTGAGCCAACGACTTCTTTTGAGTCATGCTGCTCGAAAGCGCAGCCGAAGACTCGAGTCCATCGACATTGCTGGCGCCTTCCTGAAAGGTTTTTCTTTCTCCGAGATTCAACGAGCTCTACGTGAAGCTGGAGTTGATGCACCAAGCCGAGTGGTGGTACTTCTACCTCCCTTGAACGTCTTTCGTCACTTGAGTGACCTGAGCCCTGACTTCAAGGGGATGACAGACCTCCAAGCTATGGAGTACGGCTTACTCTGCGTCAAGCCGGTCTATGGGTTGAATGACGCCCCATTGGCATGGCAATTGTGCCTGCACCAGTTTGTCAAGCAACATGGTGGACACCCATCACATCTGGACGACTGCACTTTCTCTTGGAAAGGCCAACGACCAGAAGAACCAGAAGCTGAATCAATTGCCACGACACATGTGGATGACATCGCTCTTTCGGGCGAACAACCATGGCTGGACCATATGCACCAGCTGTTCCTCAAGCGTTTTGGCAAGGTGACCAGACAGACCTTACCATTTGTTCACTGTGGCTGCAAGTATGAGAAAACGCCCACGGGCTACAAAGTCAGCCAACAAGAGTTTGCCAGCAAACTCCGACCTGTTCCAGTACCAGATCGAGAAGACACTTCAAAGCTGACCAAGGAAGAAGTATCAACCTTTCGCTCAATCCTTGGAGCACTTTTGTGGTTGACTGCCACACGCCTTGACATCATTGCAGATGTATCAGTTCTTCAAGCGAAGGTGACAGTGGCTGAGATTCAACACCTCAAGCAAGCCAATGACATCCTGATCAAAGTGGCGGAGTACATCGAGGTTGGACTTCACTACAGGATGATGGAAGCCAAGCACATCAGACTGGTGTGTATTCACGATGCTTCCTCTGCTGCTCAAGGACGAAGCTATGCTCAAGAAGGTTTGCTGATTGGTATCATGGAAGACAAGTTCCACGACGTCACTCTGGAAGCTGAGACAGAATTCCAAGATGGAGAAGGCGAACATGGAGTGGAGAACCATGGTGGAATTTTCCACATTCTTCATGCCAGTGGATCCAAGGCGAAAAGAATTTCCTACAGCACTTCACATGCTGAAACCTTGTCGATGGTTGGTGGAATGGAAGCCTCAACTATGATCATGGTTAGACTGGCCGAACTACACCATCCTGCGAAAGCTCCCACGATCAAGCAGCTTGTGCAGATCCAAGAAGCTGGCGATCCTAAGATCCCAATGGACTTTTATGGAGATTGCCGAGATCTATTTGAACTCATCACTGGACGACGAACGCTGCCTCAAGACAAATCGCAGCGCTTGTATGTTTTGAGTTTGAAAGAATCAAGAGTTTCTGGAAAACTGCGGATGGCAACTTTGGTGCCTACAGAAGCTATGACGGCTGATTCATTGACCAAGCCGATGGTTCATGATTGCATGCTACTTTTGTTGACAACTGGAATCGTCAGGTTTTTCAACGTGCCTGATCACAAGGTGGTGACGAGAATTCTCCCAGCACTGGAAGAGTATACAGAGCACGACCTTCACAAGTCCGATGACGAGCTGATGGACGACGTTGTCAAGGGCATCAAGCAGCCGAAGATCAGTCATGGAGCTGTTTTGCTGAGTTTGTTTTCACGAAGCATTTTACCAATGCTGGTGGCAACGTGTGCGAGTGGTGCAACGGCTCAAGAGTTTGACGAGACCTACGTCCCTGACTCCAATGCAGTTGCGAAGAACAACAGCATCCCGAACTATGCCAACTACTTCGGGGTCTACATCTCCATCTTCCTCACCGTGATCCTCGCCGTGAACATGGACAAGATTCTGAAGTACGTGACCTACAAGGTGACGAAGAAGCTCTACAGGCCTTTGCAGGCCGTGAAGGAGGAAGACACGACAGAAGCGATGGATGTGGACGAAGAAGGCGATCCGGACGTGACGGCGAATCGCATTGCTGCACTCAAGCGGAAGGTCATGGATGTGAACGCAGCAAATCATGCTGCCAAGAAGAAGATCCAAGATCAACAAGGAGAACTGGATGAACTCAGAGATGGCCTACGCGAAGCCAAGACGGAGATCACATCATGGATAGACTGCGCCGACAACTACAGCGCCAAGACCAACATGTGCCTGGCGGATTCGGCGAGCTACAAGAGAGATCTCCAAGAACTCAGAACCGAACACGAGGAGCTGAAAGACAGGTACGACCAGGCTCAGAACGACATCAACACCTTGGAAGAGCAGGTGAGACGTCAACGTGAAAGAGGAGATCAGCTTTGTGACAAGGTGGATGATATACAAGGTGCGCTGCAGCACTCCAAGAATGCCAACGCGATGGCTGCACGAGCCAATGCCAGCAAGGACGCGAAGATTGCCGAGCTGACAGCTGCGCTGCAAACTGCGAAGCAACAGGCTCAAGCAGTCAGACCAAGCCGTGCTGCCGACCAGAACGAGGTGGCCGAGCTCACGCAGAAGATCACCGACCTGACCAAGAAGAACGAGGACTTGGACAGGGAGAAGAACGTCCTGAAGGCGACCTGCGAGCAGCGCGCCCGTGAGATCCTTGGCCTAAGAGAGGCCAATAGGGAGGCAAAAGCCCCTCCGACTGTGCATATCACGCGAGGTGGGTCATGCTACCATAGCGACGGTTGCAACCACCTGAGCCATGCCGGTCAGCCAAGAGCTGTAGTGGAGTTGCGCAAATGCCGTGACTGCTGGCCGTGAGCACAGAGCAGGAGGGCACCGGTGTGAAGTTTTGCATGGCCCCTGCACAGGATGACACGCACATAGGATCAGAAGTGTAACCAACTGACATGCCCCGCAGAGCGCTCTTGAGTGGATCAAAATCGAGTTTGGGAATGTCATCATCCCAACTGACGAACTCATATTTTTCAGAGGGGTGGCTCAACCACCAATCAGATATGTATACATCTATATATGTTTTATGATATATCTGATAGTTCTGATACTCAAAAGTTGGGTGATTTTCATTTACCGATATAAAAGGATAGAAACCCTAAACCTTACACCGTGGGTTATGTTAATTGTCCCTATCACAGATAGGAAAAACCTAAAGCCTGAACCCTAAAGTTGGGTCATCCGTGCGTTGCTGGTTTGCTATGGTCATCCATTGGTTATGAAACCATGAATATGGACTTTATATACCTAAGAAAAGCGTTTCTATCGTGGGATGACCATAGACCACTAATACCATGTTTTGATCCACATATGGAAAGATGAGGCAACACTAAAGCCTCTAAATCGTACATGGCACATCAATATCAATCCATATCAATTGAATTTTACTGGTACTTTACAATAATTAAGTTTGTTAAACCTTTCCTTTTGCAATGGTGCACTAGTTGTTGTGTTTGGCAATTTATAGTGAGCTTAAAACATGACATACACAACAATTAGAAAACATCTTTCTGAACGGGGACATGATATGCCGCCGTGCACTGAGACAGACCCATCAATTTTTGATATGTGGGTCTGTCTCAAAATCAGGGATCAAAAACCTATTTTTGTTACTATCTGGTTATGACTAACAGTTTGCCATGGAAAATCCACCCATGCTATTAATAGGTAAACCATCTATTTCTATGGGCCATCTATACCATGGCTATGTTAAATAACCAGAAGGTAATGGAAGAAATGATTCGATGGTGAACCATGTGGTTTGGGGGTTCCCAATTCTTAGCCAAACCCAGATGAACGGACCTTATCGTAACCCCAAAAAAGTACACAGCCGTAATATGCCTTAATTATGGGGGCCCCATTGATATTTGGTCAAATTGCCCAGGTTATACGAACAAAATCCAATAATTCATGGCATAAAATCCGATCGTGAAATGGTTCGTTTTTGTGGGGTTATCAAGCAGTTACAAATGGGATAACCTAGATAGCGGACGTATTCATCAGGGTGATTATCCAGCTACTAAGCGGGATCATCCTCCGAATAAATGAACCGGGGTGTTGGGTTAGCCACCTATCCACGATGTGGATAGTGAAGGTGATGAATGGTGAACAACCTCGAAAATGATCCTGAGTGTGACTCGCAGTGTGAGTTCCGGGATTACGCAAGATACAGAAAGATATACCAACAATTTTACGGCCATAGTAAGCCCAGATTCTGCGTTTTTTGTTTCAAAGTATTGTGTTTCGTATTGACCCAATCCCATTTTGGCAGGTGAATCCTGCAGGATCCGCAACACAATGATCCTGGTGGGGATGGTTAATGCACCCGAAAGGCCCCTTCGAAAACATGGCAATGGAAATTGTATACTAATGGATATTAATGGATACGAATGGCTAATGGATACTAATGGAAATTGTGTGAAGACATGACGAATGGATACTAATGGCTGTAAGTGGTTAACCATGGTACAAACTTTGTTGATATTAGCCTCTGGTAAACTGTGACATAGCTAGAGAGAAAATGGCCATAGAAATAGTGAATTGTCCCATTAAAAATGATGATTTTCCATAGTTATGCAACAGTTTACCAGAGGGTATAAGATGTACCTTCGAAGGCACCCCAACCCAGAAGAGACCACTTTCTTTGACTCTTTTGCTTCAACGGACTGATGCTGATGCCATTTCCTCAGTAGTTCGTCTGCCACAAAATATTGTCAGAGTACTGAGCAGGTTCCTTGAATGTTCCATCTGGAAGTGCAGATCTTTTTTTGGCTATACCCTTTGCACGCAGTACTTGCAATGCGATGAGAAGCTTTTCAAAACAGAAATCAGACCTAGTTCTAGCAAAACCAATAATGTTTCCAGGTTTCATCCAACAGGTTTCATGTGATATTTTGAACCAAACGTGTGATCTTTCAAGGGATCTTTCGCCCGCTGAGCCGGGCCGGCATGGCATTTCCCACGTAGCCGCCACGCGGTACCGTTGCCATGGCGGCACCACCTGGTGGGTTGGCCATTCTGGTGGATGAGAAGCGAGTCAATGAACTCTTACAGCAGACGCCTGGGCCAAAAAACTCTGGATGGAACGGTTGCAAAAATCCAAGAAATAACATGGAATAAAAAATTACTTTACTTCGTGTGATCCCCACCATGACATTTATACATTTTCTTACTGGCAAATCTTCTGGCATTCTATCTGACATATTTTCTGGCATTCGATCTGGCATTCTATCTGGCATATCTTCTGGCATTCTACCTGGCATATCTGCTGGCAGATGTTCTGGCATATCTTCTGGCAGATGTTCTGGCATATCTTCTGGCATTCCATCTGGCATTCTATCTGGCATATCTTCTGGCATATTATCTGGCAAATCTTCTGGCATTCCATCTGGCATTCTATCTAGCATATCTTCTGGCATATTATCTGGCAAATCTGCTGGCATTCTATCTGGCAAACATTCTGGCACTTTATCTGGCATATCTTCTGGCATTCTAGCTGACATATCTTCTGGCATTCTATCTGGCATATCTTCTGGCATATATTCTGACATATCTTCTGGCATTCTATCTGACATATCTTCTGGAATATATTCTGACATATCTTCTGGCATATCTTCTGGCATATCTTCTGGCATATCTATCTGGCATATCTTCTGGCATATTTTCTGGCATTCTATCTGGCAAATCTTCTGGCATTCTATCTGGCATATCTTCTGGCATTCTATATGGCAGATCTTCTGGCATTCTATCTGGCATATCTTATGGCATTCTATCTGGCAAATCTTCTGGCATTCTATCTGGCATTCTATCTGGCATATCTTCTGGCATATATTCTGACATATCTTCTGGCATTCTATCTGACATATCTTCTGACATTCTATTTGACATATCTATCTGGCATATCTTCTGGTATATTTTCTGGCATTCTATCTGGCAAATCTTCTGGCATTCTATCTGGCATTCTATCTGGCATATCTTCTGGCATATTATCTGGCATTCTATCTGGCATATCTTCTGGCATATCTTCTGGCATATCTTCTGACATTCTTTCTGACATTCTTTCTAACTTTCTTATGCACATTCTTTGTCCCATATCTTCCTACATGAGGTCCGGCAGGGAACACTTGGCGTGGATACTCGCGGTTGAGGTCCGGCAGGGAACACTGGGCGTGGATGGTCGTGGTTGAGGTCCGGCAGGGAACACTGGGCGAGGATGGTCGTGGTTGAGGTCCGGCAGGGAACACTGGGCGTGGATGGTCGTGGTTGAGGTCCGGCAGAGAACATTGTGGATCGCGGGTCGCAGTTGAGCAAGGACGACGAGGACGACGAGGACGACGAGGAGGACGAGGAGGAGGAGGAGAGGAGGACGAGGCAGGAGGAGGCGGAGGAGGAGGAGAAGGAGGAGGAGAAGGAGGAGAAGGAGGAGGAGGAGGAGGCAACTGACATAAAATCTAACAACCCTCACCTGGCAGGTGGGGAACTAGAGATGTCACTGTTGGATGTATTGGTAAATGTCAATTAAATTAATATGTCAATGACTATGTTTGGTGTTTGGTAGCTTTCACATCGAGCTGAAAAGGGTTTCTTGAAAATAGGTTACTCCCAAATTCACTGGTCAATCATCATCATCATCATCATCATCATCCCTTTTAATACATCATTTTGGGTGCTACCCGGCTACCCCAATTTCAGACGCCCCCAGCCATGGCTTTGTGTTTCTTTTGTACTCTAACTATGAGGTTTGACACGGTGATTGTGGATGAAGTCATCCCAATCTTTGCCCCAGTATGGAACTATTGAGTCAAATTATGAGATTTGAGAACTACATATGAACAAGATGAACAGCATCAACAACCATCCAAGTAAGAAAATTATATGGGGATTATATAAACTAAGTTGGGACTTGGGAGAATTACGCTGGGAGGTTGGATGGCCACCGCTCATATGAGGATGTTGATCCCCTGAAAGGGGCTACAAATTCCAATCGATCAATCGGTAATGCTTCAAGTTTTCCATGTTTTTGAATGACCAACAAATCGGGTATCTGCAGTATCCCCAAGTTGCAGACTTAAAGCCCAAACAAAATGTAGCCCCACCCCCCCTAATATTAAACATCCCCAAATGGTCCCAAATATGTGGAAATTCCCGAGTAAACCAGGGTTTTTAGGTGGTGTTAATAGTCATTTTTGGGGTATCAAAGGTCAGTGACAGGGGCACCTTCAAAGCCAAGTCACTTAGGAAAAGTGGCTTGAAGGCCCTCTTGAGGCGGAAAGCGCCTGACATGGCCTGGCAGTGGGTTGGTGAATGCTGGGTGGATGTAGCGAGGATTGTTCACCAATCAAAATTGCCCTATTTGGGGGTGGGCCAAAACCTATTACTATCAATTCTAATGGGATGAACATCCATTTACCAGCTATTTTGGGGTTCACTAGGTGCCAGGGTTTTGACCAATAGCCATTTTTTTTCAACAAAACACTGGGGATTTCACCACCATCTTTCGGGGATTCAATGAACCAATCCGGATTTTTATGGCTGAATCATGACCGATGACCTGGCACCGTGAATCACTGGAATGATGGGAATTGGATTGGAATCATCTCATATTTTTTCGCAAACTAAATAGCCAAAGTTTTCAGCTTGGTGAAGTGCATCCTCATTTATCCTCCAAATGTGGCCATGAAAAATCCATAAAAAAAATCCATCGATCAATGGAGCGTTCTAGCTGGGAAAAGAATCTAGAAATGGGCTTTGAAAAATTGCCACGTTTGATTGTTTTGGAGGGTATCCAAAAGAATATGTTATATATGTCCCGGCTTGAACATCAGTCTAGTAACTAGATAAAATGAGTGGATTCTGCTGATTCCAAAGGGGGTCACTTCACAGCATATGGCATAATATGGCAGCCCGTCAGCCCCCTTGGATTTCCGATGCGCTGCATGCAAAAAGTAAAAACTATTATCCAGTATCCCCAGTCATGGCAGATTACGCAGTGGAAAAAACACATACAGATACATCCATTTAAAATCATTTAAATAAATATATCACATATATACACATATGAAAATCCTTCAAGAAATCCGGCAATTTGGCGATCCAAATTGGCTTCCCCGTTACCAAAAAGATACAACAAAATCACCAGTTGGTCCCTTGGCCGTGGAATCGTTGGAGGTCCACCTTCAACACCGTGCTCTTCGTGGTTTTTCTGATTCTCTTCACGTCCTTAGCCTTGAGTGAACCAAGGGATAAGATCCTGGGCCGCGTTTTGTTTCTAGGTTTTGATTCATCCATCAAACTAGCTAGATCCTCGGAGTATCAAAAATGGTATTCTGCCCCATGGCTTGAATATCTTGAATACTTTCATCATTTTTTAGGGGCAGTTAGAGGGTCTAGATCTAGATGTGGCTATAAATCGGTATAGCCGGTATAGCTATAAATCATGGGTGGCAACACCTGCTGCCACAGCCTGCCACCAGGATGAGGGCTTTCGAGGGCTACCTTCGCAAGAAGTTCGACGAAGAAGCAACCATCCCCTTAAGTGAGGTGCTATCCATCGAAAGCTTCTGGAGGTATCACAACGAGTCCTTCATGCCAGCCACTTTGCTGTCATTGTTGGTAAGAGTTTCATCCAGTTGCCAAACTCAGGTAACCAACCCCAGAATCGTAAGGTAAAATAATCCGTTGTTACCTATGTCAGAGGTAAGTGGAAGGTTTGGGCTTCTATAGTTTGATTTGTTTTGCATACTATGCTGTTCTTTCTAGTCTTATCTTTGCCATCAAATGTGCGTTTGTGTTCTCCTTTGTATGTTGTCACACATATATGTCATGGTAGAGAAATCTTGGGCAGTTGACTTGGTATAAAGCCTTCATCAATGTTGGCTTTCCACTTTATCTGGGTTGCATCACATAATCAAATGCATTGGATCTTGGCAACTCTGATGACCTGCAAGAGCATTCTAATTTGCCTGTCAAAAAAAGGACTACTCCAGTGCCGGATTGAAATATCCATATTATAACCTTAAATCACCAAAGTGTCTCCAAACCAAATCAAGTTCTATGCGTTACGTGTTGATACCCACTTGGAGGTTTCTTGAAATAGTGGTACCCCCTAAATCATCCATTTTCATGGGATTTCCATGAAATAAACCATGGTACCGCCACGGCTCAACCTCCACTCCTTTTTTTTCAGATGATCCGAGGCCATCTATGGGCGGGACCGGGCCAAGTATTCCTTTCCTGGAGCGGTGGTGGCGACATGGTTACAGGTGGATGGTCCCAATTACCTCTACGGCATGGGACGCATCAGAGCCCTCAACGTTCAGGCGGATGCAGATTGCCGGGTGGCAGAGCAGTTTCAGAGCAACCTGGCGAAAAGCCGAAAGCGCAGAGCAGTCTTATGCCAAGTACTAGTAGGATTGATACTCTATTGAAATATACAATGTTAGATATTATATACTGTATAATATTCCCCATATGCTCCATGTATAGTATATTTACCTACATTTGGGTGATTTATGGGGGAAATGTTGGTAAATATTCCATACATGGAGCACATGGGTTATATATATATATATACAAAAATATCATGGTAAAAAAAATACTGCGACCTCACTATATAGATGATGGTCAGTATTGGTAAGGGGAATTATCCCTATTTCTCCGCAAATTTCAGGTTATATAGTGAATTCTTATAATCCCTTACCCATAGGATCCATGTATGCTATATATGGTAACATTTACCATCAATATACCCCCAATGTTAGCATATGTACCTATGGGTTATAGATTGTATATATATATATAAATAGATATGGGTGTGTCTAAAACAGGTTTTGCACGTGTTTTTGGGAAACATGATAAGACACAGCATTTGAATGCGGGGTAACCCTATTGACAAATTGATATTTGTTTGACTGTGGTTATTTCTCGATGCTGAAGCGCATGCCAAGATCCAAGGTTATTTTCCGACCTGCTACGGTCCATTCAGTCCAGAAGCACTGGACACTCAACCCTATGGTCCATCGAATGAAGAAGGCCATCTGTTGGGATGACAATCCCCAAAGGCGAGCATTTTTTAAGGGGGTTGAAACCAGCAACCAGAATTACCTGGGGCTCTAATTCATCACCAGATCATCTAGATCTGACTGAGAATCTGAAGATATAATCTCACACAATCTGATCATCACTTTTAAATAATGTAATATACATCATATACATTATATATATATATGTAATGTATAATACATATATATACATACGTATATATATATATATATCTCCAAGAAGCTCATGCAAAATTGCACGCCAATTCCAACAGTCACACATCCGGACTGGCTGAAACTGCCTCGACGCCATTGGTTCACTCGTTGACCTAACGGTTTGACCCAAGGGTGGAATTGGATGGAATTGAGACAATGGTGAGACAATTATTTATTTAGAATCCATTGGTCAATAATCAATAGTGATCCATTATTCAATAATCAATAATCAATAGTGGATCATAAATAAATAATGGTATTGATGATTATTTCAATGTGTCTCACTCCACTTGTGGCTACACTGGTCCAGGTTTCTCCCATGGGATCGTGGAACGATGTGAACCATGTCGTATTTAGACATGTTTTTCTTGAGCGGCGAGATGAGATTTCCCATGTTCCTTTGTTGTTTGAGTATGTTTACCCTCTGGTAAACTAACATAACTATGGAAAATCACATATTTTTTAACTATAAATGGTCATTTTCAATAGCTATGTTAAATAACAGAGGGTAAGTTCAAGTTCATTTTCCCAAACAGGACTTGTCTAATGTCATACTCTTTGTGTGTTCGAGGAATACAAAAAACTGCCAAGCAATAGTTTGTCTGTTTCATACTGGAGAACCCCATATGCGTGATGGCAAAAACAATAAACAATTCAAACAATTCAACCAACATAAATGACAGTTTCGCTTCAATCATCAACATTCAACAACATGTTATATTTCTGATAATGTTATGTTCATCTCTGGTTCTTTAAACATTTAAAGATTCATCCCTGAAAAAGGCGTGCCAACGTTCAACTACTTCTCGGACCCAGATGGCGGTGATTATAGCGGTCTTGTGGCCGTCTATCCCTCTGGAGGTGCGAAGAGTAGGAATTCAATGGATTTCAATAGTGGATAGATCAACAAGCAATTAATAAATCAATAGTGGATCATTAATCATATTCAATGGAATATTCAATTAATAATAGTGGATCAATAGTAGGAATTCAATGGAATTCATAGTCTAACCCATTGATCAATACATAGTGGATCATAAATATATTTTTGATCAATGGTGGATCATTCTTATAGATTATGAAATGGTAGGAGTAGGATTAATCAATTATTATATTTATTTTTAGTCCATTGATCAATAATCAATAGTGATCCATTATTCAATAATCAATAATCAATAGTGGATCATAAATAAATAATGGTATTGATGATTATTGGATTTATAATCAAGAGTAGGATTTATAATTCGTTGATCAATAGTCAATAATCCATTGATCAATAATCCATTGATCAATAATCAATAACCCATAGGATCCATGGTGCTGCTATATATGGTAACATGGATCCGATCAATATACCCAAAGTGTTAGCATATATACCAGCACCATGGATCCGTCATGGGATAGTGGATCATCAATAAATAATCTCAAGAAATGGATCATTAATAATAATCATATGTCATCCATTAATCAATGGATCTCAAGAAATGGATCAAGAATGGATGTGATCCATTGATCATCAAATCCATTGATCAATAATCAACAATCAATGGATGAATGGATTTGAGATGAGGATGCTGAAATCATCAATGGTAAATTCTAAAGACCTCACAGCGACCTCACTGGGAATTATGGTTAGTAGGGGTAATCATCCCCAAGATAGCCTTATTTCAGGTTAGTGAACTATTATAATTTACCCAGATCAATGGATCATCATGATATCATCCAATAATCAATGGATGCTGAAATCATCCGAAACCCCAACAAAAAAAACTAAGCCCCAAGATTTCAGGTGAAATCTTATAATTTACCCAGATTTGAGATGATAGCTGCTCTCTCCAAAACTAAGAAACATAGACAGACCCTCAACATAGGCAACCAATGGTTAAATGGTAGGGATAAGGGTAGGGAAACCAATTTTTTGATCCTCAATTTGCTATCCCCCGTTTATTGCTGGAAACCAAACTTCAAACCCCCAAGAATTGGCAGGGTCCATGTCGATTGGCATGGCGAAATTGGGTGGGTTTAGTTGGATTTGCCAACTCAGAAATTGACGAAACTTTTCGAATCACCATCAAAACTGAATTGTCATCAACATCTGGTTGGTGGTTTGGAACTTGAAATTTATGACTTTCCATATTTTGGGAATGTCATCATCCCAACTGACGAAGTCATATTTTTCAGAGGGGTAGGTATACCACCAACCAGACATGATATCAAGCCTGGCAGTGGAATGTCCGGCCCTCTCATATTCAAATATATTCAAATAATCAACAATAGAGCAGCGACCAAAACCTCCATGTATTCGTTTTATCTTGGGCTTGTAAAGTAAGATGACCTCGCGGAAGGGGTCTGCAAACCAGGGTTCGCGGAAGCGCCGTGGACACCGAAAAGCGTTTTTAGCCACATTCCTTACTTCAACAATAGATATGTTCTCGGAAGCGTTGCGGAAGTGAATTGTAGTGCGGGACCGTCCGCGGAAGTGGAAACTGTGGCCGCGGAAGTAGCACGGAAGTGTTCGCGGAAAGCGTATGTCAGTACAACGGAATAAAACTCTGTCAGGTTTTGACCACAGATCAATTGTAGATGACTAATTCCCATGACGGATCCATGGTGCTATATATGATAACATGGATCCCATCAATATACCCCCTTTATGTTAGCATATATACCAGCACCGTGGATCCGTCATGGGATAGTCGTGGATCATGTAGCACCCCCCAAAAAGATGCCAAAAAGTTGGAAGTCAATGATGGGGACATGATCCATGATCCAAATAGCTGGAAAATCCTGGAAATATGTGTCTTGATCCATTTCTTGAGATCCATTGATTAATGGATGATATATGATTATTATTATTAATGATCCATTTCTTGAGATTATCTATTGATGATCCACTATCCCATGACGGATCCATGGTGCTGGTATATTAATGCTAACATAAAGGGGGTATATTGATGGGATCCATGTTACCATATATAGCAGCACCATGGATCCGTCATGGGATATGTGTCTGTCTTCTTGGAGCCTGTCTACTGTAGTCCTCTGCCTCCCTACAGGCTATACCGAGATCTTCACGCCGGACTATCTCACCAGCAACGAGAAGTTCCACATCATGCGGACTGAAGGCTATTTATCAGAGAAGACCCGCGCGATCTTCTTGGAGTTCACCATCTACAACTTCAACCTCGGTCTGTAGCTCGATTCTGCTCGATAAAAAAATAGGAGATTTCTATAGCCTCCAGTGCACCAACACAGATATGGAAAAACAACATGAAAAAACCAACTCAAACCGGCAGATCATTTTCTGAAGCAGACATCATAAGCGCATATTATCCCATAATCCCATATATCTGTGAGTTTTCTGGATGCCGAAAAATACCAAGCCGCAACTGGTGCAACCATTAGCCACCAGCTACTGCACCCCCTCAGGTGATGCTCATTCAGGTCACTGAAACCATCTGAAACCACTTACCATCCACTTGCCATTATTTAAATCAATGTAAACCAATTTCAATGATACAAAAAAACTGTCAGATTCACGATACTTCATCACATCCCCTTCAGCAAAGCTCATCTCCGTATCTCGAGCATATTTCAAGATCGTATACACATATATATATATATCTATCTATCTATCTATCTATCTATCTATCTATCATCTAATATATATCATATACCAATCATATATCAATCATTATATAACATATATATATATATGAGCCCGGTCCCCGGACCCCCACACCCCCCCCCCCCCCCAATGGTATCCCCCCCCACTCCTAACCCCCCCCACCCCTCCAAAACCTAGTATTTGCATGTTATTTGCACATATACATACACATATACACATATATACTCCCCTTTCCACCCCTCCAACCTCGCATCTCTACGTTATTTGCAGCACTTGAGAGCCACGACCTCGTCAACAGACCTTGTCTACCTGTATATTTCTATCATAACCTTTTTTTCGAACCGCCTATAGCGTGCCTCGCACATGGTTTACAACATATTTGCTACCTGTGGATTACGCAAAGCTTACCTATGCAAACCTAGACATATGTACAGTAGAAAAACAATAAATAAATATATATATATGCACATTCTAGATACTACAGATTGATTTTTTGATCTTGTATCTATCACATATTTCGTTTACATTGTACATACTGTACACGTATATATATATATATATGTATATTTATATATATATGCATATATATATATACATATATATATACACATAAACTCTAGATATACAGCGTGTATTGCTGTCGATATTCAATATGCCACATATACTATATATGTAAAATTTATTCAACGAACATATTGACCTATATTGTATATATTACATCTACTGTGGATACAGTAGATGTGGCATATACTATCTATATTCTATCAAAAACCACATATACGATATATATATATATGTTCAATATATATATATATGTGTCAAATATATATATATATATATTATAAATATATATATATTGCATATATTCTATTTATATCTTACATATTATATATATATATATGTTTATATATATATGTATACACTACACATACACTCTATATTACATATAGTATATCCATTCTAATTATCGATACATATGCACTATATGCACTATAAAGACTACATACACCATGGCTTGGCTGCTGAGAAAACCCCCCCTCCCCTGCCACAGGGGGGGGGGACCATCTGGCTGGGTGGGGGGGGTGTGGGGGTCCCTGCTCATATATATATATATATCAATCATATATCAATCATATATCAATCATATATCAATCATATATCAATCATATAATTATATATATATATATTATATCAGATATAAATCATCTCCATCAACAATCTCCATCAATCATCTTCATCAATCATTCCCATATATATCCACCATGTTTTTCTACATCCCAAGCCCCGAAACCCCCGAAACCCATCGAAACCCCCGAAACCCATCGAAACCCCACCTTGGCTCGGCCCAGGTACGGCGTGTGTCGCCTCGCCTTCGAGGTTGCCGCGGCGGGTGATTGGACCAACACCTTCGAGATCGACGTGCTGATGCAGCGGCACTTGCAACCCTTGGGTTCCGGCACCACTGAGGCGAGGGCATGGCGGAAAGCAGCATGGCGCTGGGTCATGAAGCATATCCCATATGCTCCATGTATGGAATATTTACCTACATTCCCCCCAAAAATGGCCCAAATGTAGGTAAATATACCATACATGGAGCATATGGGTATGGATACATAACATATGGATCATATCTGGTTGGTATGGATAATTTTATGACTTCCATTTCATATATGGGATGTCATCCTTCCCATTGACGAACTCATATTTTTCAAGATGGTTGAAACCACCAACCAGATATGGATTTAGCCAACAAAGATGGTGGTATGTCACGAGATATCATGGGATATCTTCATAAATGATGGTGCGAAGCGCATGTCGCGACATCACTGGAATGATAGGATTCGGATTAGGGGAAGCATCCCCTTTTCTCATGGGTTGACATAAATGAGTTCACTAAACTGATGAACACACAAAACTGATGAATACACAAGTGATCAGTGGATTGATGATGATATAGGATTATACTCTTCAATTTCATCCAATTTTATTATTGGGATTATCACGATATATCACCATCCATGAATTAGGATATCAGTTCTGGGCATGTTCTTATCATTCTTATCCTCGAATATCCTCGATGTGGATGGTCAGAATCATTCTCAAGCAGTTTTTTTATTCAGGGACGACATTTCGGACACATCGGACATCCGGCACCAGGATTGGTTGTTTCTGATCCTGGAGGCACGATGGGCCATGTGGGCCGATGGATTCCGATGTGATATGATGGGATATGATCAGTGGAATATGAAAGTGCATGCTTGGGTGATACTTGACGCATCTATGTATAATAAGTCATGATATGTCATGATATGCCTTTGTTATCATATGTATATACATGTATATAATATATGTAAATGTATGTATAGAGGATGAGCCTGACATGATACAGATGGGAAATGGAGTGATGATGTGATGGTTCTGAGTATTACAGGTGTGTATTTGGAAATTGCTACATCCAACACTACTCGGATGGCCAAGAGCCTTCACCAGACACCAGGCTCTCAGAGTTATAAGCGTTCTTCCCAACTTGCGGGGGTAATCCCAAAGGTATTTATCTTCATTTTTTCCACCCCAAGTGTACCCCCAAGCAGTAGGATGTCCCTCCCCAATCATAAGCAGTACCCAAATTCCAACCTGCCTGTCTTAGTATTTATATAATGTTATTATCAATATATATATATAACTATATATATATAACTATATATATATAATTATATATATACCCATAGGATCCATGTATGGTATACATGCTCACATTTGGGGTATATTGATGGGATCCATGTTACCATGTCATATTCCCATGATATCTCCATGACATTCCCATTGGGAAAACCCCTGTGATATCCCCGGTTTTCCTCACAAACCCCGCACATCCGTTGATCGGCTAAGGCGGCTTTGCTGTTGTTTGTGTTGCGCTATGTCCTGGAAGAAGCCTCGGAATTCGTGGGCTTTGAGTCCAAAGGTGGGGAGTTTCTTCCAATGGCGAAGGCCGTGGACGATAGCATCGATCGTTTTAAGTTGACACAAAGGATACTTAAGGTATCTTAAGGTAGAATGTCTATGGTAGAGATAACTTAATGAATCAAAAGCTATGAAATTATAAAAGGGAGTCACCATCCGTTAGCTATTTTAGGGGTATCTAGGGTGCCAGAGTTTTGACTCATAGCCATATATCGAGCTGGTTAATGGGTTGATAAACCAACTCATAACCTCGGGGATCTCATCTTGGGGCTTTTGTGGCTGGTGATGCTTGTGTGAAATGAACCTCAGAATGTGATATGATTGTGTTATATGAACCGGAAACTCCCAATGCCTCATCGACAAGAGTTATATAATGGTGGATTATCACTCCTATGGTCCTGAATTTACTCATGTGACTGTATTATATAATGGTGTTGTATGGTATATAACTTGTATGCTATGCGTCACGATATGTCACGATAGTTTATTGTACATGGTATTTGGTATGTGGCTATGATACCACATTGCATCATTTTTAGAGTATGTTTACCTACAAAGTGGTGAGCAAGGATTTACGTAGACTCCAAGCTTCCGTTTTCGAGAGGCTCTCATCTCATATGCTGGGCTTGAACCCAAGTTTTTTGGGTGAAAGACTACATTTTTAGATCCTCAACTAGCACAAGGTGGTGCCCCCAGTTTTAAATGGGTTATAATCCTATTAACTATAGATATATCACCAACAAAAACCATAGTTATTGGACTTATAAACAAACTATTAGCTAATAACTAGTATGAACTATAGATATATCACCAAGAAAAACCATCGTGAAATTGGACTTATAAACCCTTCATTCGCAAGCGATTGCTGACCATAGTGGGGCACCATTTTTTTTGCACCACCTATTTGTTCAGGTGGGAAGATGAGAATCAGCATCAAGTGGGACTATTTCCTTGACGCCTGGAACATCCTGGACTGGTTCAACCTGCAACTGGATCGAATGGATCAACTGGGTTAACTGAGGATCAGCCCACTTAAAAGATGCGCCCATGTCAAAGGGGTACCGGGTACCATGAGGGTAAGGTCATATGTCATATGGTATTCATATGAGTCATATAATATATATATAATATAGAGTTATATAAATGGTATTTGCCAGGTGTAACTTCTAGCCTATAGCATACATCATATCTCATTTCATATGGCTGTTGTTCAAATTGCCTGGCGTACTTTTGTAGCGCAATCAACTGTTGTTTTTCTAGCACACCAAAGCGCTCATATCCGCTCACACCTAAACCACTCCCGGGATTCCCATGGATTCCCACCAAAATCTGAAATTCGCAGCTTCAATATGCGGTTGTCCAACTCTGAGTGCAACTGGTTCTGAGGATCATGATGATTGTCACCGTCTGCTACAAAATTGACACCTGGGCCAAAGCTGGAAGTGTCTTGGCAAGGCGCGATGAAAAAAACATCTGGGAAGTCTGGGTCAAAAAAGAAAAAACACCAACTTTCGGATGAAAATATTATGGAACGATCAAACGATCCAATATATGTTATATATGTAAATAGGTTCAAACTTGGCCCATTCCCTGATCTCACAGGAAACTGGGAGAAAATATCTGTCGCGGCTCAGTAGCTGAGATTATTCGAGAAGCTGCCACACTGCCACACTGAGTTTAATTTTTAACTTTCTCATGGGTCGATGAAGTCATCGGCTGCCCCCTAGAGCATTTCGCTACATGGTGATTGGCTCTGTCTTACAGTGACCATCAACCAAGTCCAAGGCAAATCACCCGGCGGATGCTGCAAGGATCATATGTCCCAGCCGGAGATCTCACTGTATCCCCACCGAATGTGAGTCATGTGAGTCCTTTTCACCAGCAAAAAAGCAACAGTCAGACCTGTAATCCTTGCCCCCTTTCATATCAAAACTTTAAAAAAAAAAACGTGTTTTTTTCTATGAATTGTAGGGGATGATGGGGGTGGTACTCCATTTTTTCGGCATCCTCAAATTGGATGACCCCGGGTCGACCATCCCGAGGCCTGTACGTCATTTCACCCTCTGACTGGAAGCTGGTCACCCGTGGGATGTACTCCAACTTCCATCCAGTCGCAGCCAACATTCGGCAAGTGCATAGCTTGGTGGCCTTCAATACCATTCTAACCTGGTTCAAGGTGCCTGCCTTGGAGCCACAACGGAAGCATCTGGAAGCCATAGAATTTAGATGATCTAGCTATATACCTCAAATTTGATGATTTTCAATAGCTATGTTAGATTACCACTGGGGTGTTCGTGGTATGCACACTCATGTGGAGGCATACAGCTCTGCGCATAAGCATGAAGTTGAATGGCGTATCACGTTTGCATGATGTCAAATTATCTATTGTGTCCGTTCTTTTCTGGTAGCATACCCATATCACGGAAATAACATCTAATAATTGGAGGTTTCCTAGAATAGGGGTACCCCCGAATCCCCCAATTGAATGGGATTTTCCATGAACACAAACCATCCAGCTATTGGGGTACCCCCATGGCTATGGAAACCTCATGAAACCTCCATATCCATCAACACATCAACATGAACTCCAAGAAGTTACGACTGTGCTTGTTCCGCAGACTTAGTGATGGCGTAGGGTTTGGAGTACATATCCCATACATCTCCATAAGTGATCAACATGAACTCAATGAACTAAACCTCCATATCCATATCCATCCACATTCATCAACACATCAACATGAACTCCCAGAAGTTTCGCAAGGCCGTGAAGTACATCAACATTATCCCATATGTCACCACCTTCATGCAGACGGTGTCCATTGCGCAAGTCTCTTTGGGCTCATGGATCGTGGCTCGAATGTCGAAGTTGGATTTTAAGTCTTTAAGTTGATCTTTTTTTAATGATCCATTCCTGAAGAAAGATTAAGACATTGATTCATATTTTTGGGTGAAGCATCTCCATTTCTGAATCTGAAAACAAGATAGCCCTAAATCCACTGGATGATGATGGGTAATGATCATTGTTCCCCATGGAAATGCCATAAATTGGGGGATGAATCCAATTATATAATTCCCCATTTTCAGACATTTGTGTCGTGGGTTGGTACCCTCTGGTAAACAAACATAGCTATTCAAAATGGCCATCTGTATAGTTGATTAACAAAAATTGCCATTTAGTTCGTTGATTTACCCAATAGAAAATGGTTATTTTTCCATAGTTATGTAACAGTTTACCAGGCCGGGTAAATGTCCAGTTTTTAAACACCCAACAAAATTTGGGGGATTTGTTATCACTGATATGGCTTTTCAGGGGACACTGGAGGATGAGACCTCCACTTTTTTGGGGCCCTTCCCAATTATGTTTGTTGTTTCATAAACCATGAAGACTACACTCTGATAATTGAAAGTAGCTATTGAAAATGGTGATTTGTAGTGGAGTTTGCCCATCTAAAACGGTGCTTTTCCACAGAGAACTGTTAGTTTACCAGAGGGTATAGTTATTTTTGTATCATAAACCATAGTGACTTTGGACTTGGGTTCACCAAATCCCATGAAATCCCCAATGTTTACTGAGAAAGTCACCATTTTCCAATTGGTTTTCCTATCGTTTTTCCGGGGGTCGCCCATGGCAGGTGGTGTTTTTGTGCACCTTGACGGGCTTTGTCCTGGCCTTCAGTACTGCCTTTGGCGCGGACATCTCGTCTCTTCGAACTCCCTTTCAGGCGGGGACCCAGCGAGACCAGCGCCGGGACATGCCCGGCTACGGGGGTTGTTGGTCACCCATGCTTTGGGGTTATAGCATTCTTTATAGGTAAAATGGCTATCATCCACATTCAGCAATATAAAATGATGATGTGATTATATAATATATATATAATTATATATGTGATGTGATGTAAGTTTATCCAATATAATGGGAATACTGATTGCTGGGTATCCTCTGGTTGTTTACCCTGTAACATACATGAAGGTGTGGAACGCCTCTATGGTTTCCTGTTCGGAAAATGATCTACATTCATGGTTTTGGTTTTCCACATGGCAAAGTTGACCGGCGGGTAACAGTTTATCAGTTTGCTATGGAAAGTCACCATTCTTAAACGTGGTGCCCTCTGGTAAACTGTTACATAACTATGGAAAATCACCATGCTATCAATGGGTAAATCCACGAACTAAATGGGCCATTTTCAATAGCTATTTTGACATAACCAGAGGGTCATCATTTTCCTATGGTTTTCCTATGATTTTCCCATGTTCCTATGGTTTTCCTATGGTTTTATGGGAGTGCCATGGGATATTTATCATCATCTATGTCGACATTGGCCATGGCTTCTATGGCTTCCAGCTTGACTCGCTTGACCCGCTTGGTCGTTAATGAATAAATATCTTCAAGATAATGATGGGGTGATTGAATTGGGTTAAAAAATTGGTTATTTATCATGGTTTATCACCATTTGATGAAGGAACATAGAAAACATTTGATGAAGCAAACTGAGTTGATACTAAGCAAGGATGGTGATTCTTTGGTGATGTTTGGTGCTTTGACTACCGCAAAGATGGCATTTGTTGCTATGTGCTGTATGGGACAGAATTCACTGTTTTGCACCAGATGCACAAACTTGCAGATGAGTTTTCCTTTCCCCTTTAGTTTGTCGGTCCACTTTCACTTCACACCTTCCAAAGATCCGAGAATTGGTCTACTGGAAAACTTTACGGGAAACCTTTTATTGTAAAAAAAAAACATGGTTTCTTGTAGATGGTTTTCCTGAAGTCAATTCATTGAAATCATGAAACCATACAGGAATTCAAAACTCAAAAAACTTCATCGATTTGTTTTAGCAATTTGCAGTTCAGGCAAAAACTTTCAGTATTTCTCTGTGGGAAGTCATGTTGAATAGATTCTTCCCACTCACTGTGTTTTTCGCTATCCAAAGATTACCCTCTGGTTATGACTAACACAGCCATGGTATAGATGACCCATAGAAATAGATGGTTTACCCATTAATAGCATGGTGATTTTCCATGGCGAACTGTTAAATCACCAGATGGTATAGGAACATGCAATCTTGTTTCTGTATAGCTGTAGTCGCTGGTCATGGTCTTCCAATCCATGTCAAGTTACAGTAAATCATCAAAATTGCCTCACCACACCCAACTTCCATCAACTTCCATCAACTTCCCAACTTCCATCCGCTTCCATCCGTGTCCTTGACCGAGGCCTTCATTTTCATCATGTTGACGATTCTGGGCAACAGCGACGTTTCGGTCATCTATACCGTGGCTCCCTTGTTGGGCACCTCGTCTGAGCTGAGGGCCTCGGACCTCGGCTGGACCACGTGATGGAGATGGGAAATTATTTCAGAATGGCACACATAGAGATATAATGATATATATTGTATATATTATATAATTATACATATATATATATATATACACATATATATATATATATATTTACATATATATATACATACATATAGACAGATATGTATATATATATATATGTACATTTTTTATATATATACATATGTATGTATATATGTATATTATATATATGTATATTATATATATGTATATGTCTCTCTATATATATATGATTATAATATATATATATTGAAATTCTTCAAAATCAAACATTCATTACCATCATTATCAAATATCTCAAACATTCAATCTCCTTTATGCAGAAGATATGCAAAAAGGTGGCCGCACATCTCAATGGCTAGGCAAGAAAAACAACTAAACTTTGCCATGATTCTCTCTTAGAGTGTGGTTATATATATATATACATACATATATATACATATATATATATATTGTTTTACTCATCATGAACAAATGTGCCAACAACTCCCAATTTAGCCAAAACTTGCATTCTAAAGTCTTGATAATATTCTTTCCCCTAAACAATTTGTCCAACACAACTCACAATGCTGTCCGAAAGCTTCTTTGTTGAGAATCATAATCAACATCATTGGTACAGGTTGCCATATCCTAATATATCTCAATATGCATATGCTATTTTCTGGGATGTTTTTTCTTGATTATCATTACCTCTGGTTACTTAACATAGCCATGGAAAATGGCCCATTTACAGATGGTTTACCTATCAAAAATGGTGATTTTCCATGGCGAACTGTTAAATAACCAGATGGTAATATATTTATCATCATTGATTCTCGGCCCTGATTCTGATGCTGAGAGCCTGCTATTTTCTGAGAGGTTCGTTGTTGATTATCATCTACGTGGTGGGCATTTTCTTCGTCATCATGAACCTCTTCTACGCAATCATCGTTTCGACCTTGTCGGATGCGAAGATCGAGGAGGATGCGAAGCAGAAAAAGAAGTGGGGGGCTACCTGGATGCCTTCAGCCGGAGCTGGGAAAATGCTATGGAAATCGGGGAAAATGCTATGGAAATCGGTAGTTCAGCTAAAGAGTAGATACATATAGATATATAATGATAAATATATATATATCGAGATAAATATATATATATATGTAAATGCACATTAATATTGAACTATGTATATGCAGGTGATTAGTATGAGTTGCTTTACTCCTCAGTGCTCAGTCCATGCTGCAGATTTGTTGGTCACCAGGTGATGCGCGATCGCTTAGAAGATACTTGGAAGGCTGGGAAGCTCACAGCTGACCCCCCTTGGATGGTTAAGACATGTGACCTGCCGTCTGGGGATTTCATGATCCCCTCATTTGTGAGATGGGAGATTTCTCAGAGGGTTGGAAGAGATAACCAGCTCTGTCTCTCTCGCTCTCCCTCTCTATCTATCTATCTATCTATCTATCTATCTATCTATCTATCTATCTATCTATCTATCTATCTATCTAATCTATCTTATCTATCTTATCTATCTTATCTATCTTATCTATCTTATCTATCTATCTATCTATCTATCTATCTATCTGATATAATTTATTTCTCTAATTACATACAGTTACAGTTGCATACAGCACTATATCATTCTATTAGCCATAGTCTACTATACACGCATCATCATTTTTGGTCTTGAGGTTTCCACTAAGGATTCAAACAGATTCAATCCCAGATCCCAAGGTCCATGTCTAGTAAGTGGGTAATTACCCTTTACCCTATGCAAGCGGATTACTATCTATCTATATATATATATGTGTGAGATTCCTATTGATCATTCATTTATGTGAGACTTCTACCCCACCACATGGCTTACCCTTTGGTAAACTAATATAACAATGGAAAATCACCATCTTTAATTAATAGGTAAATCAACGATTTCTATGGCCATGCATTTTTAATGGCAAACTGTAAACGTTTAAGACATAGCATAGACTTGCAAGCGCCGGAGGCGTTAAACCGTGGTGGCAAGTTGGAGAAACAGTTCCGCGGCTGCTTTCCGGGTCTCTACTCGCGGCTCATGCGGCGGATGAAGCGAATTGCATCTCGGTCGAGAGGTCGAACGATCAAGTCAACTGCTCTAGAGCTTACAAGGTGCCCCCCAGTTATAAGTTGGTTTATAACACTCGTGAACTAGTGAAATATTACAGCTATAAATCGACATTAAATCGACTTTGCTGACTAGAGGGCACGCAAAAAATGGATGTCAATGATATAGGTTCACTTTTAGAGTTTAGCGATAGAGGAGTTGAGTGATTCATGTCATTGATGCCGCTTGCGTTTTGTTGTTGTATTTTTTGGGTTCCGCTTTGCCTGACATCCCTTATTTGTTCGAAATCTCTATCCATGGATGTCTGAAAAACACACCCCCAGGGCTCCATGAAAAATGATGAACATGGGTCAAAGATGCGTCAGTTACCCTCTGGTAAACTAACAAAACTATGGAAAATCACAATTTTTAATGGGAAAATCCACTATAAATGGCCATGTTCAATAGCTATGTTAAATTACCAGAGGGTATTTTATTTTTGCCCTTCATTGTTTGTGAGGAAGCATCCTGGACGGATGTCAGGATCAATTTTGCAGATCAAATTAGTATTTTGCGACCCCTCTGGTGAAATGACAGATGAGCCCAAGTGGAATCTCAGGTTGCAGGTCGCACATTTAGGCTTGAATTTGGGATGTGTGTAGGTGGGTTGCAGTCGGTTATCCAGAAGCATTTTGAGCAACACCAAAACAAACACCGAGTTCCCCTAATTATTCTTGTTCAACGTGACAATGGCAAGCATTGGGCCCCAAAGAGATTTTACATGTTGGGTCTCTGGCCATTTGTGACCCCCAGTTGTGACACGACCTGGCCACTTGGACATCTTTCCACCAGGTCATTTTTCAGAAACCCTTGGAGTCCTCCCCCAGGAAGTGCATGAGAAGAAGCGAGATGCTATGGTGCATGCCAGGGAGATGAAGTCTCCTGCTTGCAGCACTTGGTCGTGGGACGATGTTTGGAGCGTGGAACAAATGCTTTCGGCAGTGTTTTCTATAATTACACATCTTCATGTTTGTTTTGATCCTAAAATAGATAGATCGTTAGTTCGATGGAAAGATCGAGATCAAAATATTATATATACATTAATCATTATATATGTGTTATAATTATATATATATTCATTTCACAATACTGCAAGAGTCCTTGCTCGGTCGCATACAAAGAAACATGGCAAATGACAAATAATTATATATATATATATCCCATATGTATGTCCCATATATTTCCCATCTATTTCGGTGGACCATGTTCCTGGAACCGCGCCAGGCTGCGCAGCGAGGACCTGTCGCTGGCGCTGGGCCCCGGCAGCTCCTCCTGGGGCCGTCGCCCGCGGCGGCAGCTGGCCACGGTGTCCATGGGCGACGTCGCGGCGGAGTCGGAGAGCGATAACTCGGAGCCGGATCTGGGTGACTTAATGGGATTTCATGGGATCTAATGGGATTTTGTGGGATTTTAATGGGATTTTATGGGATCTAACGCTGGATTTGTGGGATTTTTGGGGTGATTTCACCATGAAAAGTGGTGATTTCATGGGATCTAATGGGATTTTATGTTGGATCCAATGTGGTTAAAACCATGTGATAAACCACCCATCTGGATTTGGAGGTACCCCTATGACTTCCCAAACCCCCAAAAATAGATGAGCCACCTTTTGTCGGGATATCCATGCACGTCATAACCCAGATGCTCCATGCAAGGCACATAATGTGGTTAAAACCATAATAAACTACCCGTTTGGGATTGGTTTATACCACCTATTTATGGTGATTTAGGGGATAGTTTATTATTGTTTTATAACCACATTACACTGATTATTAATATACGCTGATTATTACTGGTTGGTGGTTTCGAACATTAATTTTATTTTTCCATAATTGGGAATGATCATCCCAACTGACTTTCATATTTTTCAGAGGGGTTGAAACCACCAACCAGTATATATATATATGGGTAAATTATAACGACCTCACTGCGACCTCACTATAATCATAGTTAGTAGGGGAAATGATCCCCAAATGGCCTTAATTCAGGTTAGTGAAATATAATAATTTACCCATATATATATATATATATATGGGTATCTGAATATATATATATATATATGTGTATATATATGTATAATATTTATATATATATATATACATGTATGTGTGTATGTATATGTATGTATATGTGTGTATATGTGTACGTGTGTATATATATAAAAAGTGATAGAAAAAACCCGGCTGGTTGATGATTAGTTTAGGGATTATACTATCTAGTATCTTGGAGATGATCAATATCCTTTATGGAAATGACTCTTAAACACACATATCTGGGTAAATTATAACGACCTCACTGAGACCGAAACCTGGAATCATGGTTAATAAGGGAAATCATCCCCAAATGGCCGCAAGATTCAGGTTAGTGAAATATTATAATTTTCCCCGATATATGTGGGATATGGGTCAACTTCTATTGCAATATACTGGGTCAACCAACTGGTTAGATATGAACTCTAACTGATACTTGAATCTTTTGCTATCAATGGTAAAAAATACTAACCAGCCAAAAATTAGTTGTTTTGCCTGTTATCTAATGTTCACAATGTATATAATGCTTAGTCATTACACAGAAATATATATTTATAGACTTAGTTATTATAGTATTCATTATTCAAACATATATTTATTACTTTTATAATTATATTCATACTAATATAACGTAACCAATTGTATACTTAGTGGGAAAAAACGTTATTCGTTCTATACTCAGAACTTGTGTAATGGTAATAGGGGCCACGTGGTGACGAGCGTCACGCTTTTGGGCCTGATGGTGTAACCGTGTAACCCAAAGAATTGGACACACATTGACACTTATGTATATAGGGAATATAATGGGATGTACCGTATGCAGAACGAACCATAATCGATATGTATGATAGGGATTACGAAGATGGGGAGAGGAGCTAGGCAGCTAGTCCTATCCCCAGAAACCACGGGTTTTAGAAAAGGGTTTTTACACACATATTGGTTGTGTGTAATATGAAAGGGAGAGGGTGGGGTCAGGGGATTTATACAAGAAATAGGGGATAATTGGGATACATGTAATCCATATATTAACATATGATCCATTTATTGTTTCCATATATGATCCATATAGTATCCATATATTATCCATATTGTATCCATATATAGTAGCCATTGTTATCCCAATGAACCACCAAGTAACTCGGAAACATCACGGGATAACGACATGTTACGTAGCATGAATGATGGGAGGAGTTAGTGGGATGGGAGCTTGGGAATACTTCAGAAATGTAAATGTACAAAAAACTACGGAAAATCACAATTTTTAATGGGTAAATCCACTATAAATCACCATTTTCAATAGTTATGTTTGTTTACCAGAGGGTACGAAATATGGGATATATTGTATAGAACATCCACCATTTATAGGTGATTTTATGATAAAAGCCTTCTATCTTTGGGGTATTTCCAATTGCCAGGTTTGATTACCGGAAGGTAAATAGGACACAGAAGAGACCATGTTTATACTGATACGAAACGGTGTGGAAGTGATAAGAGGTAAAATCCATGGGAAATCCCTGTTTCAAATATTCTTAATGGGAAGCAAGGATTGCCACAAACATCTAAAATTACAGGAACATGTCACTAAAACAAAAAAATCAGTTGGTTGGATGTACCTGGAATATGGTATGTTGTGTTCGGGATTATTATGGACAATTCATAAATATGTTTTTGTAGAGTGAGCTTAGAAACAAATTAGATTGGAAAAAAGATAGACATGTAACATGTGAGGGATCTCTATGACTTTTCAATGGGGTGGGGGCGATGGCGGTGAGAAAGCAAACCAGCAATGCATGGACATGTGAATCCATGCTTCGATACTGTATGTGTGTGATGTACATTTAAACATAATAACTGGTTGGTGGTTTGGAACCATGGAATTTTATGACGTTCCATTCAGTTGCGAATAATCATCATCCCAACTGACGAAGTCCATCATTTTTCAGAGGGGTAGGTATACCACCAACCAGTTATAGTTATTCACCATCATTAACCATCATCATAATCATTAATATTAACCATATATTAACAGTATATTAACCATTGGGGTAGGTCAACCACCAACCAGAGAAAGTAGCAGAAATACGGAGAGTTTGGTCCCGGTGGCAATTTTCCGGTTCGGTATCCATAAGCTGAACAGGTGCCGTAGAACAGGCGAACTGACATGTCATTATTGGTGGTTGATATTATATAAATGTACATGTATATTTATATATATATATATGTATATATATATATACATATGTATATATATATATATGTGTATATATATATAGTTCATTATATATATATATGTATATGAAGTATTATAATGTGATATAACACGGTGTAAAAAACAATGTTCAAAAGAAAACTCCGGGGCACCAAAAAATTGGTTCAACTCATGCCGATTTGGGTCATTTCTTGGAACGCCGGAGGTCCACTGCGTTCCACAGATCAGCTGCGCAAAGAGAAGGACAACACCTTTGGAGCCCAGACCTTGATGTCTCGTGGCTTCACCAGGTGGGAAATGTGGCCCGATTTCTATGATTTCATGGGTGAGATCCATGGTGAAATATATGTATTATATATATATACCCATAGGATCCATGGTGCTGGTATATATGCTGGCATATGCTAATTTGTGAAATCCATGGTGAAATATGTATCCCATATGCAACCCATGGTGCTGGTATATTTACCTAAATAACTGGGTGATTTTGTTCGGGCAAATGTTGGTAAATGTATGTAAATATTCCATACATGGAGCATATGGGTATTATATATATATAGTCATGGTGAAACTCAAAGTCATTGTCAAATGACTCACCAAAACCATATGTTTTCGATGTGTTTACAATGTGTTTGCGCTTCCACCGAGGAGTCTTGGGAAAATATTTTCAAGATTTTCTTGGTAATTTTGTTTGTCAACTCTCCCTTTTTGGGCATGCACAAACTCAACGTTTCAAAATAAATGTTTACAGTACCCATATATATGTATATAATTTTATATATAACCATATATGACATCATAATCATCCAAGTGCCATACAACCGCATCATTCCATTTATATCTTTTAAGTACCATATATAACCTATATAATCATCCCATTTATGTCATTGGTGTCGGTAATTCATGTGTTGGATTTTTCCGAAAACCCCGACATCAATTGGTTATCAGTTCCTAAATCAAACATGAATTAAGTACCATATAATGTGGGTAAAACAATGTCATAAAATGTCATAAACCATCTCCCAAGTCACCATTTTTATAGGTGGTATGTCTACCATTCCCACATGGCTGGTTTATGGCATTGTTTTACCCACATTATACATTCTAAATTCTATATTAATATTTCATCTTTTTTCCAGGTTCATTCCAAGACATACTTAAATTTTGACCCATACCCTGAGATGTTTTTTTTCCCAGCAGCTCGCAGATGCAACGTTCTCAGTTCGTTAAACGATGACGAAAGACCACCAAGGATCGAAGACCAAGAGGTGCAGGAGGAAGGCCTGGAAGATGATGCTGTGGATTTGGTCATCGATGCTCGCCGCGTTCAAAACGAGTGGTTTTCCTGTGGTGGTTTAATGGTGGTTAATGGTGGTT